ATATTGTGGACTCTTTCTAACTCTATTCCATACGCACTGATGTTCGTTGGTTGTAACTCCGTTTTGCTGACAAGTTTTGTCTTAGAGGTATTAAGTTTTAGCTCATATTCATTACGTACCTTGGTATGTAATGTTACCTTGTTTATAAGTCGTTGCAGGTCTTCTTCATTGGAGGCAAAAGTACCGTGTCGTCTGCATATCTGAGATGGTTGACATTAATGCTGTTGAATTTAATGCCTATATCTTCAACTAAGGCTTCTTTGTAACTAAATTCGGAGTAGATATTAAAAAATAGAGGCGATAGAATACTTCCTTGCCTCACTCCACGTCGTATCCAGTACAAAGTTTGGATAATACGGAGGTCTCGGTCATTAATTCCCCCTGTTGCAAGACAGCTATAAGTTTGTCAATGTTTACTCGGTCAAAGGTCTTTTCGAAGTCGATAAAATACATATATACCGATTGTTCGATATCCCTACATCTTTGAACCATGACCTGCAAACTGAAGAGTGCTTCTCTGATTCTAAGATTGTTTTTGAAACTAAATTGTGTTTTACTTAGTTGTACTTCTATTTTGTTGTAAATTCTCAAGTGCAGTATTCTTAAAACATCATAACTTGGGGCACATACTTCGAAATGATAAATACTTTTCCTTACACGCAATCATGCAAGGAAGAATAGGTGAAAAAAAAATCTGGGCTAAGCAATGTCAGAGATTGGACTCACCTTAGTGTAGAATAGATATTTCACATTGCAAAGATATGGAAGCCGTTCCTTAAAGAAGTTATCGTGACACGAGAAGAAGAAGGAATATCCACATCGCTCATTGATATTTAAAGTATAACTGTGGCTCAAACCAAAAATGAGGATAGACGAAATAAAAATTATCAAAATAATATATCACCATCCACTCTGAACGTTTTAGCGCACTATCTGCTAATACTATTAGTTTATAGTAGAACAAAATCATAAAAAAAACTTACCTAAATGAAGAACAAACACCGCTAAGAGAATATTGGAGGTCTTTTGCTTCATGTTAGTCAATTGTAACGACAATAATGTCTTCAATTATTGTCTGTCGTTACTTTGGATTGCACTGTTGTATTGTATCTGCGAAACTACTGAACTAATTTGGAACGTGAGTTATTGAGGTTTTACAAATAAATACATTATGTATGTATCTGATACAGCACTGTCGTATCTATACCTAATATAAATTTTTATGTGTTTATTTTTTTAAATGAGTTAATCACTTGGTTAAAAATTTATATTTTGAGTTACGTCAGCTATTGTTTTGCATTTTTTTATTATTTTACTGTTTCAAATAATGAATAAATAATTTCACTGGTGTATCAAGTCACTTACATGTTGGTAAAGGATATTTTTTTTTTAAAATTACATCAAGCACTTGATAATATATTTTTTAATTTTTTAGAACATATACAAGTCTTTTTAGAGTGAACATTGGTCTAAAATTCCATTGAGGTACAAAATATCCAAAAAGTTTATTTAGAAAAAATAATAATAGTGTTTATTTAGAAAGCTTACATTATAATATAGGCAAGAAACAAAAAGCATACTAAATAAACATAAAAACTCACTGAAGAAACGCTACTATAAAAGTAGCACCCCTTGTACGTGAGACTTAAAGATATATATTATATTCAAACAAAATATTTAAAAATTTTATAAATATAAATAGTTAGTTACGTGGTAAAGCCAAATAACACGACTGGCAAAAAGAGGTGAGATAACGATGATCATGTGTGACTTTAACTCTAAAATTGGTCGTGGCGCTGAAGGAGACCACAATGGAGCATACGGTCTAGGGACCAGGAATAATAGAGGAGATAGACTTGTACAATTCTGCGTAGAAAACAATCTGTATAATATATAACAAGCGAGTCTTCTACAGCTGGCGCCGCTTCTCGCATCCTAATTTCCAGCGTTTTCTATCGAAGCAATCTTCAGTTGTTAGATCTCTGGCGGTCATTGCATCGTCGACATCGTCTCTCCAGGATCGTCTTGGTCTAACCTCGTTTTCTTCTAGTTGGCGGAGTCCATTCTTCTATTTTTTTTGGCCATCCATTTTCCGGAATTCTCTGAAGGTGTCCATACCAGTTAAGTCTTTTGCTTAAAACAATCTGTTAATAGCCAATACCTTCTTCAAACAACATCCTAGAAGGGTATACACATGTAAATCACCTGCAGACAGTATGTAGACAGACTGTAGATGTATATGCATGTTTTATTGATTATCGAAAAGCATTTGATTGCGTTAACCATCAAAAGATGATCGAAATTATGAGAACAACTGGAGTTGACGAACAAGACTTTCGAATTATCTCAGAACTATATATACTGGCACCAAACGGTAACAATTGAAATAGAGCACACAACATCCGAAGATATACAAATCCGACGAGGAGTGAGACAGGGTTGCGTCTTCTCACCGCTACTGTTTAATTTGTATTCGGAATCTATATTCAGAGTAGCATTAGATGAGGTCCAAGGCGGAATTAAGATTAACGGAATCAGCATAGACAACATCAGATATGCTGATGATACTGTCTTAATTGCAAGCAATTCACAAGAACTACAAAATATAATAAATGCGATAGTTCACCAGAGTGAAATTTTCGGTTTACATCTAAACGTTTCCAAAACTAAAACTTTAGTTTTGGAAACTGCCTTAGTCTGCAGCTTAGAATCCGAATGATCAGATGTTACGTTTTTTCTGTCTTACTGTATGGCTGATGGACAATGGACTCTGAAATGGAAAAAAGAATAGATGCCTTTGAGATGTATATATACAGAAGAATGTTGCGAATTCCATGGGTACATGAATTACTTCAAGTTAGACTAGAAGGAAAAGTATAGAGCAAAAGATCAGTAGGAAGACGCCAGAACTCGTGGCTGAAAGACCTGAGTTTCACATATTTGAGATCTATCAAATTCTCTATTTTTAATATAAGATTGATGTTCACTTATTCTAACATTTAATGGCCTTGATGTTTCACCTAAATAAAACTGATCGCATTCGAAGGTATTTTATAAATGCAATTCTTTGTCCTTTCTTGTTCATCGTTAGGTTTGGTTTTGGACAAAATAGATCTCAACGTGTTTGTTGTTTTGAATGTTGTTGAAATGTTGAATTTATTGCCTATAACCTTATATTTATTGAATATGTAAACACGCATGGGATAATGAACATAGGGTTCAATGGAATAATTTAAATGTAGTCCTAAAAGAGACGGATGGTAAAAAAAGAAAAATCAAAGAAGCGGCTTTAATTATGCTAAATGAGGCCAATTGTGTCGCAAATTCCTCGGCAGAATGTAGTAGGATCTGGTTACCAATATTGAAAGAAGTTATTAATAAGAAAATACCAGTATTAGTAAGTCAGTAACATATAGAGGATACATCATTTATGTTTTTTAAATAACGAAACATATAAAATCAGAATTTTGGTGTTTCTTGAAGGTAAACTAATTGCACGAACAAATACTTACCATGTCGGGATAGTATTATGAGGTTTTTTTCCTGGTTTTTCCCTCATAATTTACCATAGAATCACTAACAGGAGAATTTTACTGTCATCATGTCATGTCTTTTTAAAGACGAATTATATGCTATGATTTTTTTTCTGACGGATATTCTCAAGTTAAAGTTGATTTCATGTAATCGAATGAACTATCTTATAAGTAAAGTCGTCCCAGGAGCGCAACTCAACAATATTGGCTATATCATTTTAAAGTCGTCTACTTTAAAATGCATAATGTATGTCTGAATTGTCAATATAAATGAGTCAGATAAAATTAAATTATTATAAAAGAATTTTTCACTATGTAACAAAAAACAAAATTTGTTTAATTTACTGTTTGTATTTTGAGAACGATTTCCGAAGTGGAAATTGAAACGTCAATAAACGTATTTTTATCTTTAATTGTGGCTTATTCCCAGTTAAATAGCAATTAATTTAAAATGCCACAAGAAAATAGCTTCAGAACAATACTATTAGTTTCTCATAGACATTTTTTTACTATCTGGATTATGCTTATGTTAACAGCAATACACTCCTGTTATATATTAACAAACTACCTTTGTTGTGAATATGGGTTATTCTTCATTTAGGGATTTTATTTTTGGTAAATTTTCTACAAAATGAATGTTAATACTTTGATATATATTCCAAAAAGGATATTTCTTTATTGTGGACTGTGGCAAGTTTTCTTGCTTCTTTATTTTAATGTACAGGGCTCCAATTTCTTACCAAGTTCCTTGGAGCGCATTAAAAACTATGTTTAGACGTTTCATCCACTTCCACAAACATAACAAAAAAACTGCTTCTCATAATTATATTGCAACATGTAAAAAATTCGATAGTTATTTCGTGTCCAATTTTCATTATTTTATTTATTATTAATTTAACTATAAATGTACTCATGAATACCCGGTACATTTGAGCATCATACTTGTTTTAGGAGCTTTTATGGACAATACATTATTTCTCTGAATGTTTTTTCAATAAAATAATTCTATGGAACTAATATGTTATTACTTTTTAGGCATACAAATATTTCAAGCTTTTTGGGCGGTGGGAAAACTATTTCCCACCTAAAAATTTTTTTTAATAAGTGGACCTTAATAAAGAGTTTTGATAAAAGGTATCTTTTAAATTAAATTTTGGTGAGAATATTTTGTTTATGTCCATGAAAGGTTTAAGATATTACAGTCATCCCTCAGAAAATATTCACTCTTATTTTTATATTCGTTGATTTCCCGTCGTCTCCATTTTAGATTACCTACACAAATTGGAATTATCATTCGTAATTTATGGCCATCGATATCTTGATTAAAATTAAAAGGGCAATCACTCGTTAAACCTAGCAGTAAATAATTAATGGCTGAAGTAGAGCATGCTGCGATTGGTAATTAATTATGATGTTTCTCGTTGGAAAAAATTGCAATTAACGATGCCGACAAATGTCCGATCGTACCTTTCTGTTTGCTCCGTAATTAGTCATGATTTATATTGCGAATATTTGTGCACTTCGCGAATGCATCGACCAGAATGCAAATGTCTTTAATGCGCATTACACTGACTTGAAAATGTGCACCTGATGAGAAAACGCTCCAGCAAAAATGTCATGCAACTGTCTATAAAATATAATAAAAAATAACATAAATTAATTAAAATATAAATAGTATCTACATATTGTAGCGTTTTTAAATAAAACAAGCTATTCAAATTTATATAAATATATTTATTTATAAGTTTACAATTTGGTAATATCTTAACAAGTAAACTAACTCCTAACATCGTTACATATATATACCAAAGTTACTATGTTTTAGAAAAATTCCCACCTCTAATTCGCCTAGGTGATGGCTTGTTCATTCTCGCACTCGATATCCCTGGAAACTTAACCCCCTCTGTGGTTCAGTGGTAAGAGCGCCTGCCTTTAAACCTAAAGGTCGTGAGTTCGAATCTCACCTGGGTGGAAATTTTCGTTTATTAAAAAAATTAATAAATGAAAAATAATTTCTATCCTTGTGTGATCGGTATTCACCGGAGGGACCGCAGACGTTCGGATACAATTAGCGTCTCTTAGCAAAGACAATGACGTCGACTTTGCTAAGTATCAAGACAATTACTCTACACACACAAACACACACACACACACACACACACACTACATTAATAAACTTATCTTGATTGAAACTGGCTGAATGACAATTGTCCAAGCCAAAACACACAAAAAAAATATCCCTGGAAACTTCGAGTCGCTTTCGAGATACAACCGCTACACAGGACACGCTGAATGCATGTTTGTAACACTGCTCCCCTCTTAGATCTGAGCGTCCCGATCAGCAGCTTTATATGTAGGCCCAAGATGGCGAAATCTACAGGACTGCAGCTCTGCATGAACCTCTCAGAAAGAAATAACAGTCTATTGTCTGAAGGACACGATCTCTTCGGATTAGTGCAACAAATAGTAATTCTTACGCCGTTTTATTGGAAGATTACTTCAAGCGTGCTTCTGACAATCTTCCAATCGAGATTATCTAGTGCATGGCCTATTTTGGGTAAGGCCAAATTCTTAATGTCGTAATTGCAGACGATTTTCTTCAAATTAGTTAGAGCACACCATATATCCTCGTATGTTGCCCTGTCTGTATACGACTTCCTGGTCACCATATACAGCAAAGATCGAGAACCATCTTCTAATCTCAGTACTCTTCCAACTTTAGGCTGCTGGTTTTTTAACTCGTCCAAACGACCGAATTCCTTATAAAATAGGATGAGATTCCTTTAGTCATCTCAAGATCTTTAGTCAACACTAAAAATATTCTGCTGAACTTCTGTGGTCACGCCAAATCTAGCTCTCTTTCTCTTTGCGTAATTTGACATAAATTCATTAAAGCTCGGTCGCCGGTCATCTTTGATCTCATGTTGAATGGGTTCGGACTTCTTCTGTTTCATTTGAGCCAGCATAAGGTGCAAGACGATTTATGTGAACTACTTTTGGTTTACCTTTCGGCAACTATTACGTCATTTATTCTCTTTTTAATTTCATACGGACCCTCCTATGGTCTTTGCAGTTTAGGAGACAAGCCAGGACGACGTTGTGGATTATAAAGCCAAACAAGATCACCTACTTCATAGCTTTCATTTTTGCATCGAGAATAGTATTGATCTTTCATTCTGTCACTGGCTAACTGGATGTATTGTCGGGCAAGTTCATGAATGTTGTTCATTCTTAACTTTAGGCGGTCGACATAATCTTCGCTTGCAACATGTTTTTCGGAAGGTCTGCAGCCAAACTCTAGGTCACAGGGCAAACGAACTTCACGACCTAACATCAGGCAGGTTGGAGTCTGACCTGTAGTTTCATTCACGGCCGAGCGGTAGGCCATTAGGAATAAATGAATGTGCTGGTCCCAATCTCTTTGATGTTCTGATACAACTTTGGACAAGTGTTTACCCATCGTTTGGTTCATTCTCTCAACCATTCCATCTGATTGAGGATGCAGGGGTGTCGTTCTGGTCTTATTGACACCAATCAATTTACTAACGTTTTGGAAAAGAAATGTTTAGAAAACTTTTATTTGAAATATTTTTTCTCGAAAATATTTCAAAGTCCTTAAATAACTAAATTAGAAAATTAGTAAAAAAGTTATTTTATACCTGAAAGAATTAAAATGGTAGAAAATTATTATATAGTAAGTTATTTGTGAAAACTTATATACCTTAAAGAAATAATTTGTCAGAAATTATTCACCGAATGAAATATTATAAAAATATTATAAACATCCTTCTAAGTTCCGTTCAGGAACTTAGAGAATCTGAAAGAGAAATAATTTTACAAAAATTATTCCAAGTCTAAATTCACAGAAATAAATCTGAGAAATTATTCTAAGTTCGTATATAAACTTGACGTTTATTAACAGAAAAATCTGTTTATAAAAATATAAATAAAAAATAAATCAAGTAAGAAAACTATTCCAAGTTCGTTAAAGATTTTAGAATAATTTTAAGTACGTTAAGAAAATCCTGAAAGAAATTACAAAATAATTCAAATTATTCTAAGTTATTAAATCAGAAATAAATATCTTACTATCTCTAAAAATGCTGAAATAAATACGGTTTAAATACAAATTATACTAAGTTTCGTAGAGAACTTAGAAAAATCCTGAAATTAAAGAGAACGGTTAGGTCCAATAAAAAGATGAGTTTCTGGGAACTAAATCTACCAGAAGGTCTCTAGTGCCAAGAAGGCTGCTTCTGCGGATCCCTGTCCAGACCAGAACGAACCTTTGGCCGTCGCGCGTCGTGCACCTATACTTCTATGAAATTAAGTAGGTCAAGTGCTCCATTGCGCTCTGCCATTAGAGCTTGCTAGACAGACAGTGCTCAATTTCGGGCAATACCATTGGCTGCAATTATGGTTGCAATTTGACCAATCGCAAAGCCGGAATTGAGCTATTGGCGACAAAGCCAACACTGCATTCTAACTATGGCTTCTACTATAGTAGGTAATCTGTTTTCTGTTACTGTGTGTAATTTTTATCAGTGAATTAATTTTTTATTGATGTTGTTACATTCCCAGTTATCCAATTTTTAAAATATTTCAAAGGCAATGATAATACTCAAAAAAACGAAATATGGGAACTAATTTCCCCTTGGTTGTGTGCCCTTATACGTTCAAGGGTGATTTACAAATTTCTATGCGGGTATGACGAATATTTGTACATTATTGTAAGATCCATACAATGTTCTATTATACTTTATGTTTACACTATTATTTGAAAGAATCTGTATTGTAGATATGAAGGGTCTCGCCCGAAATTCTCTTCAAAACGAGAGTTCTTAGTGCACAATAGGGATTATGTTAAACTTAATAAAGGACCAGATGGTGGTAGCTATTGTGAATTAAAATAAATATGTACTCTTGATGAAATTCAAAGCTACTACCAAATATTGAGTATTATGTAGTGTAATATTAATATTTTCCTTGTAATCCCATAGGTATAATATTCAATGTACAATTATAAATATAAATGACTTTTTGGCTTGAACAATGGTTCTATAATGGTGTTGCAGAATCAATGCACTCATTTCTCTTTCGCTACATTTACATAAATTGAGTAAACAAAAATATACAAAAATGGATTTATATAAGGTTGGTTACACAAAAATGAATTACACAATTAATTAAAAAATGTTATTATTCTCACAATAATCGGCAAATCCCCAAAACATAAATTTAAATGTGAAATGCCAATACAACAGTACAAATAAGAATAAAGTGTATACAAACCTACTGTTACGATAAATATGTCTAGTAAATATTTTAATTCTTATATGTTCTATATTTGACTTGATGGTAGAAATTACAGGTAAAACCTACCTGACACGATGGGTCCCCCTCCGATATAAAAGACAACAATCGAACTTTCTGGAAATAGGGCGCTATAAAAAAAAACAGTCTAGGTTCCAGTTCATTCGAGACAATTCAGGTCAACATCCATGGGATTCTTTTTTACTCGAGAAGGTTTTCGTCCGCTCGAGGGAACTCTGGGCCACTGGCAGTTTATATTTAAATAGAAATTTTATTGTAAACAAAATCAGTCAAAAGAAGATCGCGCTCGCGTTTTAAATGTAACGATCGTAATAATAAATTATTATTGTAAAATAAATTATTATAAATAAACTTTAAATTAAGTTTATAAGTGTTATAAATATTGAACCTTTAGTAAATTAAAATAAGAACAATAAATTAGAATTAATAAAGACTTTACACTATACTACCTAGTCTCTTTGGTTTGTTTCTTCTTATCTTCCTTGTCTGGTGCACTATGGGGACATATTAACATCGTATCATCGTACAGACGTATCACAAATTTATATTATAGTTATGTTTGTCATTGTAATTACAAGATGTGGTGATTTAATGGCATGACAAGTCAACTGAGTTGTGTCGATGATTAGACGTCATCAGAATAACCAGCCAGAGTCATTGTCATAAAGGTAAAGCATCCTCTCATAACATGAGAGAGGTGACAAGGGTGATAGAGAAAAATAGAAGTCTGAAAGTTCTAAGACACAACATGTCCACAGGAAAAAAGAACATACATAAGTTAAGAAATAAACAAGACGACATTGTGACTGATAAGGAAGAAATAGTGAAAACAGTGGAAGACTTCTACAGATAACTATATGAAACAAGTGAATCCGATGAAAGACGCCTCTTACCAAAGATAGAGAATCAAGGCTCAGAATTAATGCCGAACATAACTGTTGACGAAATTAAAAATGCACTTCGGGTGATGAAGAACAATAAATCCCCAGGTGAAGACAGGGTAATGACCGAAAGCCTAAAACTAGGAGGAAATAAGCTCTTACTGACACTTGCTAAACTGTTCAATAAATGTCTGTGCGAAGCGATAACACCGACGCAGTGGAACAACGCGGAAATCATCTTACTTCATAAGAAGGGAGATATCAGCGACCTTAGAAACT